CCCCAAAACCCCAAAACCCCAAAACCCCTATACTTAGAAATTTGTCTGAGAAATACTTAACTAAACATAAATAAATAATTAATTATGAAATAGTATTTGGCAACTAAATCTCATTGATGATTCATCTCTTTTTGTATTTGCAAGGAGTCAAAAGCTATTTGAAATCACTTGTCAATCTAAGTTTGTTAGCATCCTCCTCCTTTTCGAAGACCATGACATAAAAATAATCCTTGAGCTTATTGACCTTCAAAGATCTAAAACCCACCTCATTTCTCATTCTCTTAACGAAATCATTAATATCTGGGAACCTACTCATAACTTCAGCTATGAATAACCTGCCATCAGGCTTTATGACTCTGTTCGCTTCTCTTAAGAAATCAGTGAAATTTGTTCCCATCAGTGATAAACTGAAAACTCCAATATCCAAATGATTATTCTTGACAGGTACCTATTAATAATTCAATAAATATGATGTATAAATGATGCAAATTTATTAACATACATGAGCAATATCGCATTGAACTATATGATCGCTCATTTTCCCTGCATCAAATGAGTATATTTTGCCCAAATGACCACTTGCTTTGAGATCCACCTCAAGACGTCCTTCTCCACATCCAAAATCTCCAATATTTTTAGTCTTATACTTGTCCTTCTTCAATTCATCAATTATAATATCTAATGGATTCTTTGGCCATTTATCAACCTAATGACGATACCCTGTATGATACTATATACAATTAGCTAATTAATAGTACTTTACATCTTCAAATAGCTATGGATTCTCTTTAAACATGTCTATTGCTTTAGCACTCTCAGATGTATAAAGTTGCTCGTTTAAAAATCTAAATTTGGAGGACATCATGCCTTCTTGAATTCTATCTTTGACTTCATTCTTCTATTTGCTGCTTCCCCCAACATTCTTATTCTTCTTTTGCTATTTTTCCTGGAGCTTGACCTCTCTTTTTTTCTGATTTTTATCCATTACTTAAATTATTACTATATAATGATAATTATAATAGCAAATAATGGAACTATTTTAATGATAAATAGATATGGGGTTTTGGGGTTTTGGGG